CAGAGGCACTGTCAACAAGCACAGGCCATCATCCCACAGACTTGGGCAGGACCCTCCCTTTTTCACACTTACAGTACCTTTTGTTGGTGTTGCAAGGGTTTTCACTTCTGCATCCCGTACACTCACTGCTCTCTCAGGGCTAATGTTCATAAAATACTTCAGAACTCACACACTGCTCATGAGTGACTCCGTGGTGCCTTAAATGCATTTACTAGTGGAATGACCAATATTAAATAACTTATCAACCACTATCGCCCTCTGTTGGTGTTGGGTGGGGTGGACTCCACTCTCCAGATCCTTGACGTGTAACTGGGAACATTCAAAAGCTGCAAGTTCCCTCGCAGAGGAGAGAGAGAGAGAGAGAGAGAGAGAGAGGGTGTGTGTGTGTGTGTGTGTGTGTGTGTGTGTACATGCACAGTGGGCAGAGTCTGTAAGGTTGTATTAATAGGTTTAATGTCCATATCCAGCACTTACAGTGATATTAATATTTTATCCTTTTTCTGGGTCTTCGAATTACAAATATGTATCTTTTGTAGTTAAGGCAAATGAATGAAAAGGTAGGATTTGGGAGGGGCTAAGTGATGGGGTAGAGAAGAAAGTTAAGTTTTATTTACCAAGTGCAAATTAAAATATACTTAGATTTTATAGTTAGATGAAAGTAGACATATAAATGGAAATGGGGAAGAAATGGCTAAAGCTATGGTGTAAACTAAGGACATATTGGTAGATTCTAAGCAAAAGATTTTGTCAGCCAAGTTCACTTGGCCCAGTCGGTTTGAATGTGAGTTTCCACTTGTTTTCCTCTCTGAAATTGTGACCATTCTGCAGTCACAGCTCCTGATGCCCCCTTGCCCTTTTGCTTCCTCTGGAGTGGATTCTCTACTCTGAGCAAAGAATATCATATTCCGGGTAACCAGAGCTGTGGTCTGAGCCTTGTGACTTTGAGGCTGACTAAACCCCAAAGACTCTTCATATTCACATTTTTCCCATAAAAGTCTACAGCTTGCTTCCTTGGACATACATCTCCATGGTGTTCTTAGAGTGTGAATTCTGCCTGTCAGGAGGCCTATTTCTCATGATTCATTGTATGTCCTCACTACTTAATGGTTTATTTTATTTTATTTTATTTTACAAGTTAAGCTGCAAATGGGAACACAAAGAGGTGAAATATTTTGCTGGTTGAATTCTTAACCCAGGTATCTGTTGCTCTTGTAGGCGCTGATCATCAGTAATAGAATCCGAACACATACTGATCATCTTTAAGCGCTTCTCCCCTCCCCCCGCCCCCCCCCCCCAGTCCCTTGCCCCACATCATTAAACCTTACTACCAATAAAAGGAGTAGGAGGAAATGTTGACTTCTGTGAGCCCTGCCACACCTTTCCTTTTCTTAAGGTGCTGTTTGGTAGAGGGCGCTTCCCCGTATGCCGGATCCTCTCTCCCGCCACCAAAGCTGCCCTTTCTGTACTCCATTCCGCACCTGGGGACTGCGTCACCCGCTGAGAAGCTACCTTAGCTAGGCTCAGTGGTACATCTTCCAGTTGAGGGGTCTGTATTTTAGTGAGTCTCTTGTGCCGTACGTGGTGTAACCGAGTTAGACAGTCCCAAAAAAGAAGAGATTTTAGGAGAGGGAAGCCCTCCAGCACCTCCCAGGCAGCACCTCCCAGGCAGCATCTCCCTAGCCCACTGTTGTAGGAACCCAGTAGGCAATAGTCCACAGAGTAAAAACTGTTTTCTGACTTTCTGAGAAGTCGTGGTCTTGCAGTCTTAACCCACAAATCATGAGGAAAACCACAATAGAAAGTAAAACTGATAAATTTCAGAAATATCTCTTCTCCTACACCTCCTCCATCCCTCTTTCAGTCAGTCATGAACCACATATTATTTCTTTTGATTAAAACAAACAAAAACTTGCTTTGGCTTGAAATATCAGCCTATTCCAATGCCTTAATAGAAGAGATCTTCCATCTTGTTCTTGTCCTTTTATACTCTGAGTGTATGCAGGGAACATCATTTCTCAGAAGTATTTCCTAGATAGATTACAGTGAGAGCTTAAACAAAACTCATTTCTTAGCTTTGGGATTTTAAGCAAGATCCTCAGGTCAATGTTTCTACAAGCGTTTGTGTTCCCATTTGCAAAAATGGAAATACTAACACCTACCTCGTAAGACTGCTGTGAAAATTAAATAAGATCCTACATACAGAAGTGCCTGGCACTGTGCCTAGAACGTACATAGGAACCAAGTAAATATAATCCCTTTCTAGTTTCTTATAAAATCACCCAACTAAATGGTTGAGATTAGGGGTGGTTTCATGGAAAAGATAATGTTTGAACAGGTTCTTCAGGTTCAAGCATGGGTAGAGTGGGGTAATGGGGGGATGAGAAAGACATGTTTAAAGTGATGTTTAACGTGAATTAATGCAGCAAACAGGGTTGGAAGCACCAGTGGCAGCAGCTGGAGGCAAGGAGAACAATTATGTGCTTTGTGCATAGATCTAAGCACACTGAAGGCAGAGTGAATATGAGAAACAGGTCAGAGGAAACAGTCAGAAGACTCGGTGACTTGTTGAGTAGATTCAGGCGATGCTGAGTTGACGGTGTCTCAAGGTCCTCAAGCTTCGTGGGAGGAGATAGGGGGAAATGTGTCAGGGGTTCTTGGGGATAGGATTTAGGAAATGGTGAGCATGAGATGACATTTAGCTAGATATTTAAGTATCTCAGTAAAATTCTCAGATATTTAAGTTAAAAGAGTAAGAGACAAAAACTAAAGCTTTGGTGGAATTTAAAAAAAAAACCAAGAAGGAAAATATTCATGATAATATTCATTAAATAAAACCATAGCATGGGGTGAATTAATTTCCTGGGAAGAGGAAGGTTTGTGGACAGAATATTAAACGTGGTGAACGTACTTACTTAGGAGGGAGAGGAAGACGCCAAGTGAGCCAGGAATCGCCGTAGGAGCGCCCAGAATGGTGGAGTGAGATCTCGGGGCTGAGAGCAGAGACAGAGGCGGGTGCACTTCGCAAAGAGATCAGAGAAAACCCAAAACCCAAAGCAGAAGAGAGAGTAGCATGAATTGCGTATCGGTGTGGCCAAGAACCTTTTCTCCTCCCCTGCTTCCCCTGTCTCCCTTTCTCCATGTCTTTATCTTTCCTAATGAGAACAGCAGGGCCAGAAGGATAGAAGGCCAGCCCCTGACCTTCTCTGAATTTCCTTTCTTCTGTTTGGTTTACAAAAAAACCCTGAACTCTGTGACCTCAAGCAAAGCCTCTTAGTCTCTATGACTCTCAGTCCCCTCATCCTAAATTGTAGTCATAGCAACTTTCTTCCCTACTTTTGGATGAATGAGGCAGGGATGCAATCTAAAAGGGTTCTCTGCTAAAATTTTGCCAAGGAGAGAACACTAGTAAATACCAAGCCTGCGAATAACCTGAGTAGATAAATGGTTGCTTAAAAGTGGTCTTCAAAGCACTTAACATTTCCTTGTTTGCAGATTTCTTTAAAATTATTTTTTGTTAAGCTTAGTGACCTGTGTTAATGTTGTTATAAATACTCAGAATCCCTACAGGGAATTGAAGGTGTTTGTGTACAGCATTATGCCTCTTGGATGTAATTGTCATTTGAACCTTAAATTATCTTTACTTTCATGCCTAGTTAGTAATTATTTGATTACATGATTACACAGAGCGAGAATTATGTGGGGGAGAGAGGTGATTCAAGCCATTTTGTTTCTTCTAGATAAATATATTTCAGCTTGATGAATTATAAATAAAACAGAAATCTACAATATGCAAAGTGGCTTAAAATGCTACACAGATACTGCCATTTCCTAAAACTTTTTAAAAACTCTTTTTAGGCTTCATAATCACTTGTGAGAAAGTAATATAGAGAATGTGAAATTTCTAAAGTAAACATACAGGAAAGTAAAATTCTGGAATTTACCATGTACAAATGAGAAAATGAGTCTCAGATAGATGAAGTAAGTTACGTGCATTTCCCGAAGTCCCAGTAATTTTTAAAAATCATTTTCCCAAGGTTTCTTCCCCTCAGTTTTTAGAAGACAAACATAAAGAGCAAAGCTTTACATTACAGACTGAACACCATGAAAGAGAATCAGATTGGGACATATATTTAAACTACATGGCCGCTTCGCTTTCAGCAGCAATGTGCTAAGTTGTAATGTTCTGAATTTTTTTCCTTCTTCCCCAAACTTCTATTGTACATTAAGGAATTCAAACCCATTTATACAAACTGTCAAATAATTCATGCTTAATCCCTGGTTCATTGTTTTATATTCTTAATTATCCATTTCTTGCACACACTTCCATGTACACGTTAGTGAGGATACTGTGTAACTAGTACTCAGTGAAAAGAGGTGTTGATAAATATGAAGTTACCAAAGTTGTAGGCAAGAAAGACCTGTTTGAAATATACCATCCGGTGTGTTAAATAATACGCCACACACACACACACACACACACACACACACACACACACACACACACACACACACACACCCTTCTGTGGTCATAGTGCCATGCGGTTTTGTCTGTAGAACTAAAATGAATAGATAAAATGCGGGTGGCTTCTCCCCACTGTCACTTCATAAAGGCTATGTGGAGCATAGTACTTTAATAATTCCAACCCATTGCATTTTGCTTTACATTCAATCACAAACATAGTGTTGCTAGAGGAAATTAGTTACAGAGCTGATATTCCTTTTGTTGTTGGTCCAGTTGTCAGGGAAAGTACCTGATTCCTCAAAGCTAGCCATCCAACTGTAATCCAGAGATTCAAATGGGAAGCCTGGCCATTCCCTTTTTTTTTTTTTTTTTTTGGTTTAGTTTTGAGTTTAGAATTCTCATTTCCTGTCTGCTAGTATAGGACATTTTGTACTTTAAGGTTTGCAGATGTTTGAAAAGTATGTGTGGTCTCTGGACTTAGACATTAATAGAGTTCCTTGGGTGTAACTTCCTTTTCTTTTTTCTTTTTGTCTTTTAGGTATGGGAAAATAGTCTCCACAAAGGCAATTTTGGATAAGACAACGAACAAATGCAAAGGTATGTTTCCTTGGATGGTAATTTGCTAAATCATAACTTCAGAAAAATGATGGAATTTTAACCTAATCTTTGGTTTCAGAACTACCTCCATTTTATTAAAAAACAAATCTTACATGTCACCCAGTTTCTGTCTTGCACAACGTCAGCATATTGCTTACATTTGTCCCTAGTCGACTTTTGGCTGGAAACCCAACAGCAGCTAGCAGTTTGCCAGAATCCCAGATTTGACGCCAGCGGAGTTAACGTGCAAAATAAGGGTTGGCATTTAGCCTCTACTTTTAAAAGGGGAATAAAGTCAGAAAATAGCTTTTCTTCCCTGAGCTTGAGGAGATTAGAGCTGCTTACTGGAGACCACTGGACTGTACTAAAGGACTGAAAAGATTACATATTGTGCAAATTGGCTCTATTAATTAGAATAGAGTAGTTTTAAGCAGTACTTAATTACATGTTTCAGTACTCCCAATTGTTCTCCACTGAATGCCTGTTGACAATACTGGCAGCAGGGAGGAGAGAACCATTTTCACTGACCAAATTGTAAAAGGGAGGGGAGGTCATACGCCCCTTTGAAATATGCTGCTGCCTTAATTTGATGCACTGACCTTCAGTTTTCTGTGTAATTAGCATGAGCTCATCCAGCTTGGCGAGCTGGAAGAGGAGGCGTCTACAGTAGGCAGCCCTGACGCTCCGCGGTTCCGACTTTTAATGATCCAGCATCTTAACAAGAGGCATGTGATTTCTAGGAAAGGGGAAGAATGGAGTCAGCTGACTTTGAGTCTAACTACTGACCCCATGAATTGAAATGAAGTTGACAGGAATAGGCAGAGAAAGCAAATCTCCTCATTAATTAGACCCCAGTTTTTCAAATGGTGATGGCTGTGGTTTAGCACCATCTGGAGAAGGCAAGGGATGTAAATGAGCCCTATGGTGGCGCCCCCCCCTCCTTAGGAGGCGGCCATTGCCTCTAATCTAGACTTGAAGTGCTTCATTGTACTTCTGTGTCTTCTTCAAAGCCCCTACATTTAAAGGAGCTGTTGTAGTAAATATCTTAGCCCATGTTTAATCAACATGGCACATTAAGGCAATCTTGTTTTGGGACGGTGAATAAGCAGTGCTTTATTTAGAGTGGTACTCAATAAATGTTTTAAAGGAATTAAACTAGAGAGAGTCAAGTTGTAGACTGACGCATTTAAACTTAGTTGCCAAGATTAGTTTTATTTAACATGTTTATAAATGATTTGGGAGCGCAGGGACATAGAAAAAAATCTCCTGGTTTTATAAAGAAAAATGGGCTCTTGCAGCCATAAAACAGGAAGCTGATACCAAACATTAGTTTCAACCCAAGAGAGAAATCGCAGTAGACAAGCAGTTTTTTAGCCTGGTCTTACCTTTCCTCCTCCCTATTCCCCAAACAAAAAAGAAATCTTACAGAGCAGATGTGTTAAAAAGAAGAGCTGCCCTAGTTCAGTGAGGGAGAAGACCCAGAGGCCTCCATGGTTGAATTCTCCACCACATCCCCATAGTGAAAATCGACACATATTGTACACTCTTCTCCAGTGAGAATCTGCGCCCTAGAAGCTAAAATTCTACAAAATCCTCAACATGGTCTAGAAAAGGTATAAGTAAAAAAAAAAAAATACTAGTGCCAAACTAAATCTAGCATAATAGTATAGACACGTAATAGTTGGAAAGGGTCCACAGATAAGTAGAGAAATTTGTGGGGCTTCGCAGGAAGGGAGGGAATAATTCAGAACAGATCTTCACTAAAGCTTGTCTCCTGGAGACCTTCTTGTAAAGCGAATCTCAGGAGTGCGTGTGGATAATGATGGGAACCTTCTAGGGCTCTGTGTCTCAAACAGGCCTCTCAGGAATAGATGTCAGCAGAGAGCTGGTGGGTGGGTGGGGTAAGCACATAAGGGGAGTGAGCGAGCAGAAATGGTTTTCTAAATCCCAGAGGCGAGAATGAAAGAGCTCTTGAAAAAAAGCAACTTTGGGACAAATGAGAAGAACTAATAGGGTAGCTCATAATAAAGACAGAGAATATGTTAGCCATGTTATAGATGAGAAGGTAGGTGCAGGAGAGGGTGAGTGGGTGGATGAATATAGATAATGCATAAGAGGTGATAGAGTATAAATGTATATATATATATATATATATGAAAAGTTCTTGTGCTGTAGTCTAAGTTTTTGAGATTGAACAGATGAAGGAATTTTATATTTGGAAATTAGAAACCTCAGAGGTCACAGAACATATTTTGGAGTCTCTGTCCAAGAGACAAAATTAAGCTCAAGGAAACTGAATAACATGTACTTTAGTTATTGAACTTAAAAATTCACGATTCAGTTGCTCTAATACATTTCAGTTTTTGTCATGTTTTAACCAACAAGAGGTACTTAAATTCATTGCAGCGCTGCTATGTAAGGCAAGTCAGGACAAAATAAAAGCTTACAGAGTATTGATGGTGACACTGATTAATTATTAATACTTTCAGAGTCACATATAAGACCAGAACACACACGTACACACAAGTAAAAATGGGTGAGGATAAATCAGACCCAAGGGAAAATAGGATTAAGAGCGGGAAACTTCAGGTTACTGCAGAAATGATCCTGTGTTTCCTAGTGGCCAAAGCAAAAATAGAAAACATAAGCTATTCCCATGATTCAGTCACTACAGTATGGTAGAAACTCCAGAATGCAGGAGTGTGGTGGTTATTCCTGGTCCTGAGCCCTGAAAAGAATCCTCCTAGGGGTTCAGTGAGAAATTTCTGTGTTCCTTAGTGAACCTTTCGAAAGTATCTGTACACATAATTACATAATGATACCTCACAGAACCCATTTAACTGAAATCTACACATTCACATATTTACTTGAAAGTAATATAACAAAGAAAATGAAAGAGATCAAGGTTACATGCTTGCCTGAAAAACTTGTTTTCCAGCAGATATTTAGGTATCAGCTTTGTGATTGAAAAGGCCAGAAGAGGATGTAAACAACTAAAATGCAACCGGGATGGATTTTTCCTAGTGAGACTGTAACAGATAAAGTAATAGTAATAGTACCTGAGAGGTAATAACATCAACTACAAGAACTTCAGAAGTGAGGTCTTGTGTGTGTTGTAACTTACTGACAACAGCAAAATTGGGAAGAAAATTTAAATATTCATCAGTAGCAGTTACATCATTTCACTGTGTTTGAGTGTTCATTTATGACCTGCTAAAATTTTGGGGGTTATAAAATTTGTATGAGTGAGTGTGTTTGTGCCTGTGTATGTCCCCATAGGGGGCTGCATGTTACAGCATTAACAACAGATTTCTGAAAGTCACCCGAAGTATCTTTAGCCTAATTTCTAATCTGGCAGTCAAATAGCATTCTCTGCTTTTACCTGGGTCAGACTCTTCTTTTTCTTTCCAACCTGGCTGTTTTTCTGCACTGTCTAAATCAAATTAAGCTTTATTTCAATCCAATTCCAAGTAATAGAAGGAAGCTGTTTGTTGTTTCAGCCTTAACACTCATCTCTCAAACATCTATTTCTGTAATCGATAGTCTACTCTGTTTCATTACAACTTTTATTTGGTTACCAGACAATATTTGTGCTACTTATACTGCAAACTGACTTGTGGACCTTCTCCAAGCTTTCTCTTTGGCCTTGTTGATAGGGGTGTTTGTCTATTTTGACACTAGTACCATACAGTCTAAATGGATATAGTTTTATAGCATCTATAAATGAAGGATAGAACTGGGGCCTCTTCTGTGCAACCTTCAAACAATACTTTTCTTTTTTAAAATATTCTTACTCATTTGAAGTTAATTTTGTAATAGGTTTGAGTTCCAGGACAATATCTGTTGGTATTTTTCCCTGGCACCCTCATCTTTTAAACAGTGTGCTAAATATAATTTAACCTTTTCTCAATAACTTAAGAGTTATCACAGTGAAAATCAGCGATTGCCTACTTCAATACAGTGATGCTCCCAGAATCAGTGGAGATTCATGGGGCTCTGCTTTTATGTTGCATAAATCCTGTTCTTTGCATAGTTTTCCTCTTTTATTACTTGTTACTAGTTTTCACTGCTAGATGCCATCCTTGTGCTTATTTTGTAGCAGCCATACCCTCAACCCAACCCCTTTCTTGGCTAATAATTTCCTGACTTTTGATCATTGTAGCTAGGGAAGAAAGCTGACCAGCTTGTTAAAAATGTTTGTAAAAAGCAAAACAGAAGGAGCAAAATAGCCGTAGACTCAAAGACACCCAGAAAAGACTAGTGGTTACCAAAGGGGAGGACTTGGGGTGGGCTGGGGAGGGAGGGGGAAGGGGATGAAGAGGCAGAATAATTCGCAGTCACACTACAAGCTGGTCATGGGGATAGTGGTACAGCACAGAGAATACAGTTAATGGTCCTGTGACATGTTACTACGTTGATAGATAGTGACCGCACTAGAGGGGGTGAGGATTTAATGATATAGTAACTGTTAAACCACTGTCAGATCATTGAAACCAACATAATATTGTATGTCAATGATATTTTAACAAAAGAAAAAAGTGTTTGTAAAGCTGTGAATAAATAATCTTTGAACTCATTTAGGAGGTTATTTGTTTGTTTTGTTTTTGTTCTTAGACTTTAGGGCGTAACTGCTGAAACTGCTATTTTGGATATATGGAGGCATTCCCCCCCTTTATTTTGAAGGGAGATCATGAGCTAAGAAAATAAGTAGTGATGTTTTTAGCCAAGCACTAAATTGTGTTATTTTACATCTGAATTATCTAATGGTTATACATAATCTATTAGAAAAATAGTTCAGATTATAGAATAAGTATAATTTTTTTGTCTGTAGAATAAACAAATTTATGTCACTGGTGAGCTCTGTCAGGTGACTCCATCTTACCAAATCATCAAAAATGCTATTTCTCTGAAGTTGACTTTTTTCCTTTTTAATTTTTTTTTTTACTTTTAACTTTATTAAGCAGATGCTTCCCCCCAAGTAAGTACAGGACACTTGAGAAAAAGATCTGAAAAATAGAAACAGTGGTTCTGTTTTACTTTGAAGGGAAACTTGTCTAACCTGTGAGCCATGACAGGGGAAGATGGCCGGGAAGGCTGCTGTGTTGCAGCTGTCACAGCGTGAGACCTGTTGGGACAGCAGGCTTTTTGTTTCTGTTGCCTGCATCCAAAACCAGACGGACTCATTCTTTTCACTCTTTGCATAATCATAAAATTATAGGTGGAAAACTAAGTGTGTTTTGCATTTCAGGTTACGGTTTTGTTGACTTTGACAGTCCTGCAGCAGCTCAGAAAGCTGTGTCTGCCCTGAAGGCTAGTGGGGTTCAAGCTCAAATGGCAAAGGTGAGTTGCGAGCCATAAGCAGTCCTCTGGTGCCTGGCTTTGGTTCTGAGGCCTGACATGTTGCTTTTCCTGTCACCCTGGGCATCCTTTCCTCCATACCATCTAACCAGTTACTCTGGACACTGCTGGGCTCTACTGGACTCTTCTAGACTTTTGTCCCATGCCTCCAGGTCTGCAGTAGTAGTTTTAATGCAGTGTCAGCTACAGATGCTGTTTTGAATCTGTACAAAAGTCAGGCATTTTTAGACACTGGTTATTTATGGGATATGAAGCTACTTTTCACTAGCTCTACAATGGCTTTATTCAAGACTTGTTTCTAATGAACTTTTGGCATTCTAGATGAGGACTGTTGGTAAAGGGATATTCATGCCCCGGTCTTTATTGCCCAAATATAAATTTGGATTCTATGATATCTAGTACTATAGTGCACTTATTAAGATATTCATATAATTGTGTATATGTTATTTTACATTTGTGATCCTGAATTGCGGTGGAAAATATTTTCAAGCCTGAAACTTGGCAGTTTGATATTGTGTGTATTCTTTTCAAAAAGTCAATAATTTTTATATTACCTGGCTTCTTGAACTACAGAGGAAAGTAATTTTGTGCTGTCCTCTGCTACTTCTGAGCAGTAGCACGTGATCATTCCCTGAGGAGCATTCACATTTCCATAAGGAAGGAAGATTTATGGATGCCAAGGAGCTCTGGCAGGGAGACGAGTTACCTGCTGAGACCTGAAGGCCGCTGAAGGACATGTACGCGGCTACCAGGCTAGTTACCTGGACTAGAAAATCGACATAAATATTTCAGGAATTAATGAAAGGGATTGCCTTTCTAACATAGTCCTTTACTTTTGATATTTTTTAAGCTTTGGCTTGAGTTGGACTTACTTCGGATTTTCTTGAACTCCAGAAGTAAGAAGTTAAACAAGAACCGTAAATATTAAACGCAACGCTGTGACTTTCAGATTATTTGTCCATAATATAGAGCAGTGCCCAATGGCATTGTTGAAAAACAGTGATTATAACATTTTAAATATATTTGTGAATGTGCAGTTCCTATGTTGTATAATGATTTACAGAATGTTTCATCTGCCTCTGCAAACAGTGGGTAATCGTACATTTTATAAGCAGGATTTTCAACACATTCAGAAAGCAGCTCTATTTTTCCCTCTACTCTGTCCATTTCCTCTATTCTGTGAAGCCCCTGGTTCTTCCTCTCATGGATAAGATCCAGGGCAGGTCCCATGACTGTTTTGGCCACTCTTATTATTTTAAAAAGTCCCTTCATTTGCTTCTTTCATTTCAGGTCTTTCTGGTTAATTTTTTTTCAGTGGAGTACCTCTTGATTTTTCATATTCATACTCCTTGGAGCATGATTATTTTTCAGTACATTTTCAGCCATTTCTATATGTATTTATACCAACCTCAACACATCTTAAACAAGTTGTTGTATGGGAAGTCTCAAGTTATATTCCAAATACAGTTTGTGAAATGTCAGAATCACATGTAGAGGTTTTGAAAACTCTGCTGAGAGTCAGCGAAAAACATGTCTTGGATGTTGGCTGGTGCGGTGAGAAACCGTAGCTTACAAAGCAGTTGTCCACTTAGAACCATATTGATTTGGTGATCAGGAAGCAATGTTTTAAAGGTTTACATCCCAATATTACCATCTGTTACATGTGTGTATACATACATACATAATACAGATATGTAACATGTATTTCGTCACGTTTTAGGAAATGATAAGAAAATAGGAAAGTATTTTAATTACACTTAAAGAGATTGGGGTTGTGATTAGTGTGTGATACATTGTAATTTTTTCTTATTTGAAGGAATGTGAATAGGCTCTTGGTTAATGTTTTGATGCTGAATGTCAGATTTTCAAGCACACATCCCAGATGTTAACTATAATTCCTGTAATTTAAATGTGCAGTCCTGTTCATTTGACAAAATTTTGAGTATCATATGGTGTTAAAGTTTCTGCCCTCCCTCAGCTCAGGTCTGCTCGAAGTAGAAAACCTGTAGTGGATTGGAACATGGTTCATTTCTTTCCTATTTCCCAAACCTGTGCTGTTCCCACTCTTCCACCGTCTGGCTAGCTGTGGTTTCTAACCCTTCCAACTTGGAGCAGTGGTGAAGGATGGGAAAGGTTTCTGACCTGACCACGGTGTAATCTGGGGCGGGTGGGGGGGTGTCCTCTAGCCAGGTGAAGAGCTGACACTTTCTCCTATGGAATGTTTTAGAGATTTTCAGAGACCTCTTACCCCGCCATGTCGACCCCAAATTAATTTTTCCCTGTGGTTCTCTGAAGCTAGTGAATACATGTCATCAGGCTGTAAGCTCCTGAAAACCTAAAGGTCTCTCTCCGAGCAGCCCCCTCTGCTGGGACCTCCTTGGCCTTTAGAGCGGCCTTCCGGGGAGGATCTAACCCAGCCCTGGGCAGCTCCCCCCTGAGTGGCCCACATCTGATTTAGGCCATTTGCCTGTCGGGGAGTAGTTAGTTCCCAGCCTTACTTACAGGCCCCTTCAACCAGCCATTTGCCTTTTTTTAGATTCCTTAATCATAAGTGAGATACTGGCCCATTGTATCCACCAGGCTCTAGGACGCAGATCAAGCTTCCCAAGTGGTCTGTTGAAGCCCCTCTTGCTTGACTGGCAATGTTAGGGAAGCAGCCCACATGGTGGGACTCAGAACACATCAGCATTTTTCTCCACATACATGTTCATTCTTAGCCTCTCCAACCTCTTAGACAGACAGGAGGTGGCTGGGCAGGTAAGCACCCTCAGCCTGTTCTCAGCCAGCTCCTGCTCAGACTCTCCTCGGGTGGTCGGTGTCTCACTCTGGAAGGTGGGAGTGCCTGGCACCCATGTTTGTGGCGTCTGCTGAAACAGAAAGAGGCCTGTTCTAACGACCTGCTACCAATAGAGAGACCTCATTTAGAGAGGCACCGTGATCACTTACCTAGGCATCTTCTCAGTGCCAGTGATACTAAGCAGCACAGTGTATTAACTGGGTGCTGTTTTGAAGAAGTCTGCACTGTGCATTTAGGCAGAACTGCACTGGGTACAGATCGACACTACATGTCACGTCAGCAGTGCGCCTCAAGTGCCCTTTTCCTGTGGGCTGATAACGAGCACTGTTGAAAGACCTCCTTAGGAGGCTTGGTGCTGTCAGTTGGCTAGGAAAAACGATCCCATTCTACATCATCTGTAGGGAACAAAAAGTACACGGGTTCTGAGACATTGGCACTATGTCAACACTCTGTACTGTATGAATTTCTTCAGGTCTCTATATAATGTCTGAGTTTCCTGGACCTGATTTCTTTTTATTGTATCATTAAAGTTACAAAGGTACTTTAAATGCAAGAGAGTGCATTGTTTTGTGCCATAGAGCCATGAATTTGAGTATCTGGAATTGACTTAGCTCCCTCATATTATCTGGATAAAAAAGGTGCTGCCATGCCAGGTACCTTTTGTGGAGACAATTTTTTAAAAGAAATTTAGGTCTGGCTGCCATGGTTGAGTGATAAGGGACCCATCACTGTCCCCTTTCCTTTGGTGAATTAACCAGGATTCTACATAAGGTTTTAAAAATTCAGGTTGCCACTTATTAAAGGCTTGCTTTCTTATGTAATAAGAAAAAATTAAGGGGAAAATTAAGAATTGGATATTTAAAAATCAGTGCACTCTATCCATAGAGGACCCTAATGAAACTTACCAAAAGGTTTTCTGAAAGACTCAAAGCCATTACGGTTTGTTAAACTTGGCATTTGTTTCAAATGTGTGCCTTTTTTAAATAGAAGGTTCAGAATCTATTAAAAGAAGAGAAGAACTCAGATAACAAGCAAAGAGATGTAAAACTCAAAGCAGCGTCGGTGATAATCTGCTCATAGTGACTTCTGTAGGCCTTTCAGTGATGCCTCTTAAGGCCTTCTGGGTGGGAGGTGGCAGATTATCCTACGTCATTTGCCTCGTGGTAAACACACACTTTTTTTTTCAGTAAATAGGCTGTCAAACAAGCAGGAACTTAATCCCCCTTCCACACAGAAGTCTACCGTGCTTCAAGCAGTTTGCATTCACAGGCCCGTAAGCAGCTATCTGCTGGTTGGTGAACCTATTCAGTGCAAGAGAAAACAGATGTCGAGTCTTCCTGCCAAGTCTCTTTCTTGCATTTTAGGAACCATTCCACACGCACAGGGAGGTTTTTGTTAATTTCTTTCAGATGATGACTGAATGCTTTACACCATGCGGGACCTCTGAGGGCTGCTTTTCTACTCAAGTGAACATTAGTAGGCATTTATCCCTCTCAGGCCAATGTGGCATCTAGTTTTCTACTTGTTAGAGAAGCCATTGAACCCTCTCCATGCCCAGGGATATAAAGAGGCCCATTGGCCCCATTTTTGTATTTGGTCACCCATAATTGACAGAATAATTGTTTTCTGAGACATAGCATTGCATGTAATAAAACAGCTAAGTTGTCACTGATTTTAAAGAAACGCAATTATCCTCATTCAAAAACCACTCCCCACTTGCTGCAAGTACCATATATTCCATTTGTGATGAATGCATGGTCATTAGATTTTGTGGGCACCTTCAGGATTAAATATTTTTGTGTCCAGTGCTGCCATCTTGGGAATTTTTCTCTCTCTTTTTTTTTTTCCAATTATTACAGCTTTTTGGTCAGTGTTTGCAGGATGAAATTGACCATTTGAAAAGAAAGATTTATAACATAAGCTCTGAGGCTCATCCCAGATGAAGAAACCTAATTGGCTGAGTTGTTGCTATTGAAAACAAATGCGTTAAAATCATAAGAAATATTTACTTGTATTTGGTCTACTCTGTCTCACTAGTTATCAAAGAATGTGTTACAAACTCAGTTTCTTCCTGGATTTTTATTTTGGCACTTAATTTTCTCTTCATTGTTAAATTTTCAAGTTGAATCAAGATTTCAAAGATTATAATATTTTTATTAATATTTTGGTAATAAAAGCCACTAAAATGCAGATTAAGAAAGTACTTAGATGTACATTGTCAACACCAAGTAAAAATAATTTCAGATATGACAAGCTCTCTTACGAATATTCTTAAATATTAGTCACTTAGATTTTTATAATTATAATTTAGAAAGCCCACAATATTTATAATTCATGTTTCTTATGTAACATTTTTTTGTGCCATATCTTTGTCTAAGGAGTGTTCTAATGCTCTTTAATTAGGGAGTTCCCAGCTTTAATCCAATCTGACTAAGCATGATTCAGGAATATTTCTGGTAAGATAGGTTTGATAGTGTCACTCCCTTGCTTGCATGTTTCCAGAAAAGCTCCCCATTTTTGGGGTCATAGCTTTCCAGCTGCAGTCCACGGACAGCAATTCCTTTTCCTCTCTCTTACTCTCCCCCTACCCACCAGAGTAACTGAAATCACAGGACAAACATGGCTTATCTCCCTGGCTTATCAGTATTACTTAAAAGTATTAGGTCAGAAATATTCGTTTCTCTATTAAAACAAATTCAGCTAGAGATTATAAAATTTACATGATTTTTTTTTTTAAGATAAAGCACCAAACTTCAAGGAAATTTTCCAGCTCTGGCAAAGCTGCTTTGGCCTTTGGTACAGACTCTTCAGGATACATATTCCTCCTTGTCAGCTGTGCTTAAGTGGAAAACTTTATGTAGCAGTGATTGACAAAATACAATGAGGCTCCTTAGATAGCCTTTTACAATCTCCTTTCAGCCCCATGGCTTCTGCTTGTCTCTCAAGTCTCAACTCAATGTCATGCCCTCTTCCTGAAGAGTCTTCCCTAATCTTCCTAAGACAAGCTCCACTAGGTGACCTTCCGTTGTGATTTGTACATGTAACTGTTATAACATTTATTACATGTATTTCTATCTCCCTACTTCACGGTAGGCAGCTGGAAGACAGAACTGAAGTCATGGTTATTTTGTAATGAGAACCTGGGGTGTATGAGATGCACTGTCAGTACCATCTGGCTGTGTGAGGCCCCGCAGTACCTACCTCGAGAGGGAAGGGACCCCATCTGGGCTGGCCATGAAGACCAGAATTCCCTAGGAAGTAATAGAGAAGCTCCAGGGACTGGGAAGGTTAGAGCCGACATGAGATGGCTAATTGAGGAGCTGTGTAATTAATTGGGCGAAGTGGGGGGAGGTGGTAAATTTGAAATGAGGAGATAAGACTTTACCTCTCACCTCACCTCAGAAGAATTTGAAAACTTACATACCTAAGACCATTTGGCTTTTCCCGGTACTTTGAAACATTTTATCTATTATTGTCATGTATTTATTAAATCACTTTCCAATTCTTATACATTAAAGATATACTTTCTGTAATTGTCATAGGAGGTTTAGCTCAGCATAAAATAATCACTGGTACCACTCTAAATTTATCTAATTTCAGCTAAAGATCGCGACCATTTTGTTTAGTCTGTGAAGGGCTGATGAGGTTAAGTATTAGGCTTGCAATGGAGCATTTGAAAATTTTTAATTTTTATCTTAGATCCACCCACACTGACATCACCTTTGAGAGCCCAGGCACTGGCCCAGTTACATGCTGCCGCCTTCTGTCAGAACCAGGAAGTCCTAAGGGCAGTACTTTCTAGCTTCTCAGTCTTTGGTAATTTTAATTCTAGGGAATACCAGCATATATGTCATTCCCTGGGATACCAGATGGTTATTTTAAATCTTACCAGAGAGCTATAGCAGGAAAGACCAATGTTCACTTTTACTCGTAGTGAACAATATAAAAGGATAAGCTTCAGGTTTAATTAATGCTAGGATACATTTGGAAGTAGAGACTTTATACACGATTCAAGCATGCATATGCTTCACATATATTTTTAAAGTACTGTGCGTTTTGCAAATCTAAAACATAACGAGTGTGCTGTTCCTTTGCCTAATGCTAAAATATCAGTAAATGACTTTACTAATAGTGCTTATTAAAGAGAAAACAAGCCTGCGTAGTTCTGTGTGTCAAGATACAATTGGATAAAAGATCAAAGGAAAGCCTGATTTAAAATGAAGATTTATCCCAGTCTCACAGTTGCAGAATTTTGACTTGATCAGAAAGTATTCCAGTTGTCATATGAGCTTTTTCTCTGATTCTGTAACACCATGTTCTTAGTAAATATACATAGCAGTTACTAGTTCTCAGAAAATTCACTTTCATATCTTTGTTTTCGTCAGATTCTATCTCAGCAAAGGAAAGGTGAGTAGGAAGTGATCTAATTATTCTGGAACTTCCATATGCATATGAATCACCTGGAAATTTTTTAAAATGCAGCTTCTGATTCTGTAGACCTGGGATGGGGCCTGAGATTCTGCATTTCTAATAAGCCTTTAGATAATTCCATCACTTGTGGGTGTGGCTCATGAGTAGCAATGATTTAGCAAAATTCCCCTCACCATCTACTCTTGAGTTCACCTTTTCCCAGATTCTAAAATTTGCTCCACCGAGAGTTTATCATTTTATAAAGGCTTTGTGTTTACTTGTTTTTGTTGATTTAGGGGCTTTCCTTTTTCCATTGGCAATGCCAATTCAAAAGTAGTAAGGACCCTGCCTTGGATTAGAGGGGGGTAGAATTTGGGCCAGCCCCACTAGACTTCAGATGACTTGATCCAGAATCTGTTGTGTGTCTCTGGATTGAATTATTAGCAGTAGTACTGCCTCTGCAGTAGTGCGCCTAAAATGGACACCTAAAAATAGTAGTGGAGGACAGGCTGGTTATTTTTGGGAGCACCGCTAACAGCTGAGAGTTGTGGTTACATGAGGGCCTCCTCTCCAGGCCAGTGGTGCCTGGCAGCAGCTTCACTTCAGATCTGCTAAGAATGGCTCAGTGGGATCATGTCTGACCTACACAGATTGTCCAAGCCGTTTTCAAGAGTTCTGGGGGACTCGGGTGTTCTATAGCTGACATGATCTCACTGGGTAACGCTCTGAAAGGACCTGAGAAAAAGAGTGGCCACGTGTGTTAACATAAATATCTCACCTCCTCTTGGAAATTAATGGACAAATTCCTTGTTCTGTTTTAGCAACAGGAACAAGATCCTACCAACCTGTATATTTCTAATTTGCCACTGTCCATGGATGAGCAAGAACTTGAGAACATGCTTAAGCCCTTTGGACAAGTTATTTCTACGAGGATACTGCGTGATTCGAGTGGTACAAGTCGTGGTGTTGGGTTTGCTAGGTAAGCACACTGCTCAATGTCACGTCAACAATAGCCTTGCTAAGTTTCTTGGAAAATAAAAATTGAACAAGAAGAGAAAATTGAGCAGGGTTATGGAAGCCAGTCACACCATGAATTTAGATGTGTAAGTATCCATTTGCATTTTTCCAGATCTTTTGGAAATTAATTAAGATTTCTTGAACCTGAGGACACTAAAATTTTGGTGACTAAGGGCAAGGAAATAATCACATGAGCAATAGTTCTGAAAATATGTGTCCTGAAGATTTTGATTAATTAGATCAGAATGCTTTTAACTTCTCAAAAGTAGCAAGCTTAGGCACCTAAATTTTGTTAAGATAATTGGTATTCTTTTCCTCATTAGATGGAAATTTGATTCATCATCAAGAGGTCAATGGATTAGATGATTCCAAACATTCAGAAAGAAAATGATAGGACACCCATCTAACCCAATTGCTACACCAATTGTAAAATTTTACTCTTCTGCTTCAGATTGTTTTTCTAAGAAGTAAAATGTTGCAGATGTATCTAAACTGCCCCACTTCCTTCCCCCTTATTTTTATCCCTTCCTCCCCAGAAAGGATACTCACGTGTACTAGTTAATTTCGTTTCTAAAGGAAGAATCTTAAACAGAAGGAGCTTTGATTTTTTGATATAGCTCTCATCTGAAAGTTCATCCTACAAAAATCTGATTTTGCATTATTTAGGGAGCTATTAATACTGTGCAATAGCAAATAATGTCTATATGTTTGAAAGTATTACCTTTGATTTTGGAAGAAAAATTGCTGACATTGTACTCTCATATACATTATCCTGTTTGATGAAGTCGCATCTGCCACAGATCTGTGAGATCAGTAAAGCACGCATCGGTCACTGTTCGCCATCTCAGAAAACGGAGGCAAAGAAAGGACCTTCCCATTGCCATCAGGCTGCCAAGTAATGAAGCGAACTCTAGTGCTTGGCTCCTCTTCTGGCTTTTAGGCACTTGCTCTTTTTGTTAAGCCAGAAATTTTTGTAATAAAACTAAAATATTCTCCAGGCAGAAAGTCACCAAGGCTAGCGTCTCCGGTGTACACACTTCATTGGCTGTCAGGATCCAGGTGAAACAGTGAAAAGCTCAGCACTGTCTGAAAGCAAATCAAGTAATGGCAGTTCTGTATCCAAAGTTGGAGCCCAATTAAATCCTATTGCTTTTTAAAACTATTACTATCCATTAAAGCCAAGATGTAACTCTCTGGGTAGCCCAGGAGCATGGCGTGTTTTGAGTAGACTATTCAATGCTTCCTCCGTTAAAGAAAAATAAGCCAAAATAATTGAATGGCCCTGAAATGTTTCTCGAATGTTCTGAGCCACCTGCAGCGTGCAGTAAGCTGTAAAGTCAGGCTTCATCCCTTATCACGCCCCTGAAGTCAAGATGACAAAGAAGGTGCATAATTGGCTTTACTAATTTAATTTTCAACTGGAAGGTAACATGAAAACATACAAGGCACACCCTTTGATACACTCTTTGATTGGCACTAGTTTTTTCATGACTTTTGAGTCTGTCATTTTGTGACTGTGTAAAAAAGAAAAAAAGACCGTCTTTGAAACAACCTGCGTTTTAAGAGCACTGAGCACACTGGTATTTTAAACTAGTGTCTCTGTTTTACAGTCAGTATTGTGGCTAACAAAGCTATTGTGTACGATTGCCAGCTTTCCAAAAAGTAGAAAAAATCATGTTTGATATGCTTGATATTAAACACTCTGGATATAGTTTATTTCTTTTAAGATTCAGAGTGTACTCGAGTTTTCAGTTTTCATTTTCCTGTGGAAGTACTCGAACAACAATTGATTAACGATGGGATAAACACACTTTTCCTTACCCTTCACAATGTTGCTAGGTTTCATTTTCTCCCATAAACCTGTAAGGTAGTATTCACATGCATACAACAAACCAAAATGATAACTAAGGGATCTCTACAAATCTTTGTCTTTTTTACATATGAACAGGATGGAATCAACAGAAAAGTGTGAAGCTGTCATCAGTCATTTTAATGGAAAATTCATTAAGACGCCACCAGGAGTTTCTGGTATGTTGTTTATCTAAAATTCCATCGGTAATCTTATATAATATATGTATGCATAATATAATATATGTATAGGTGTAACATACATAATGTATATATATAATTTTAGCACATGGTAACTCATATCAGGAACAAAAAAAATCCCTCCTTTAGCTTTTAAAATTTATTTCCTTGGATCTACAAGTAAGACGTAAAATTTCACCTCTGCCAGACGTTGGGTGTTTAGACATGAATGGCAGCCAGCCCAGCGGGAAGGAGCTGTCTGACTTGTAAAGCATTCAGAAGCCTTTCCTCTGCTGAGGCCTAAGTCATCCTCTAACCCACCCACCTTATCACCATCCTCAATAAATCTTGTCATTCAGTCACATCCCTTGAGGACTGTGGTATTTTCCTTCCCAGCTCTTGCCTTTGTTCTGGAAGATTCTGGCATCTGTTACTCACACCCCCTGCCCCTCCCTTACAGAGCCTGGACCTTAATGCCTGTGGCCTTTCTGTCCCCTCCACTGTAGCCACTTCCTCCCACTGTTCTGCCTTGTGTTTTCATGGCCAAGAATACTGCACCTGGGAGCTTTTCATTCCAAGGTCACACTCATTGTAGCTCCCACTAAACCTAACCTGAAAGACCAGGTCTCTTCCCACTTCTACACTTTACTGGTCCTTCTTCACCTCTTGTCCATCCTTACCAAGTCTGGTCTACATTTTTGAGCACTAAAACCATTTCTTTAGTAGCGCCCTCAGTGCTCTTGTACCCCACACCTTGGGCACTCCTGCTTTGCCGAGTGCTGGACCTGGATTAAGGCTACACTGCCCTGTTACATCCTGGCAGGTAAAGGTTGTCTCCAGCTTGCCCAGACCCTCAGCGTCACTGGTCCTCACACGGGTTCCTAGCAGCAATTCTCAGTTTTCCTCAGCCTGCTCCATCCCCTGCCCAACACCCCTTCCCCTTCAAGCAGATGGCTTCACTTCGTACTCTGTGAATGAAATTGAGATCATCGGGTGGAAACACTGTCTACTTCCATCTTGCTTCCAGCAGGGAGACCCACACCCACAGCCATTCTCCCCTGTCTCCTCCCCTGAAGTCTCAAGGACAAAGGATTCAAAGCTGTGGCCTTGATCCCATCCCTTTGGGACCTTGCTCCCCAGTTATCCCTTCCCTTCCTTATAATTTCATTCTGTCTTTTGCCTTTACTCCTTTTTTCCAACAAAACCAAAACCTTCATTTTCAATTAATAACAGATCTCTGGCAAGACTAATTGGTGGAAAAATGAAAGAAAATGCACGAATAAACAATACCAGGAACAAAATTGTGAATATAACCTCAACTGACATTTTAAAAATCCTAGGATACAATGAACAAAACTATGAACTACTTTATGCCAATAAGTTTTAAATAAACAATTTTCTAGAAAAATCTGCCATTTCTGTTTGAGAGCCGTCAAGTCTCTCTGGTCTTGAAGCTGAATTAAATTAAGCACTGTGTCCCTCTCTCGTTCCTTCTCACATGAACCTTTTAAAAAGTATAGTCTCCACTTCTTCACTTCCCGTTCCCACCTCAGTTCTGTCCGACTTGACTTCCTCTGAGTGTGCAGCCGGAATCCCTCACGGTAAAATCCCTCTCATGGCAAAGGACCCTAACGTGGTGGCTTAACCAACAGAAATGTATTGTCTCACGGTTCTGGAGGCCTGAAGTCCAAGACCGAGGTGCTGGCAGACGTGACTCCTTTTGCCAGCTGTGAGGGCGAATCCGTTCCGGCCTCTCTGCCCTTGGTTTGTCGATGACCATCTTCTTCTTGTGTCTCTTCACATCATCTTCCCTCTACGTGTAATCTCTCTCTGTGTCCCAATTTCCCTTTTTGTAAAGACACCAAAGTTACTCGATTAAGGTCCACTCTGAAGACTTCATTTTAACTCTAAAGACCTATTGCTAAACAAAGTCACATTCTGAGGTACTGAAGGTGAAAATGCCAACTTTTGTTTTGGTGGCGGGGGCACAATTCAGCCCTTATCACTCATCGCCCAGTTACCAAATCGGGAGCTTTCCTGTCTGTTGATGCTATGTCTCTGCGGCATTTGGTCCTGCTGCTCCTTCGCTCCTTCGTGAAATGTGTCCTCCTTTATCCCCCGTTTCACCCCCTCTCTGTTTTCTTTCTGTGTTGTGTTAATTGCTTCTCTTTTGTGGCTTCATTTCTTCTATCTTGTTGTCACTTCCCTGAATTCCATTTTAATCTCACAGTTTTAATAGATGTCCTGCATTCTCAAAATTTCAACTGCATTCTCAAAATTTCAACTGCTCTCTATTTCAGATGACTCTCAAACATTCACCTCCTATCCTGGCTTTTCCCCCTGAATTTCAGGCTGGTGTCAGTCACCTACTCTTCCTCCTCTCCAAAAGGAGCGCAGCCCCTCCCCATCTAATCCTGCGCCTCTTCCCGTTGTCCTTACCTCACTGGAACCAGGCACCCGGCCAGGAGCTCAGGACTGGGCCACCCTCAGTTTCATCCCCTCCATCCATCACATCTCACACAGAAAGTCATTCAAGTCCTTAGAGTGTTTTCTTCCTGGTTGCTTCTGGAATCTGCCCTCTGCCTGTGCACCCCTCTGACCACTGCCTGGTGTAACCCCTTGTCTCCCACCTGAGCCATTACAGTAGCCTCCTGCTTGCCCGCCCTATCTCTAGTCTTCCTCTTTCAGATATCCTCCCTGACTGTAGCCAGAGATTTAGATAAAATGCAGGTCTCTGTGTCACTGTACTGCTTAAAACTCCCCTTCTCCTCCAAAGAAGAAGAAATTCAAGATCCTAGAATGACATCAAAGGCCAGTGGTGGCAGGGCTGTTGCCTGCTTCATGAGCCCCCTCTCCCTCCGACCCCTGCTTCACTGTTTATCGTCCTGCAATACTGAGCTAGGAGGGTGCCCCTAACGCACCACGCTGCCTCGTTCCCTGTGCTTGCTTTCCCGTGGTTCCCGGTGTCCTGGGTCCCTTGCACTCCCTTTAACCCGGCTGTCCCCTCCTCATCCTCAAGACTCTTCAACGCTTACCTCGTCTTGCAAGCACCTCCTCTGATCCGGTTGGGTTACCCTGTTTGCAGAGCATCTGGAGGCCACCATCCATCTCGCAGCACTTAGCATGTGTACATGTGTCAGCCCGCTCACCTAGAAGCTCCCGAAGGCAGAAACTGTTTTCTCACCTTCATTTTGCATGCCGAGCACAGTGTTTAAATCATACTAAGCATTAGTAAATGTTGTTGGTTTTGATTACATTTGACTCCACTGTTCACCAAGACAGTCACAAGTTAGCTTGCTAGCAACTGACCACAAACCAGGAAACATCTCAGTATTTCCCCCAGGGGCTATCCATGTATACCTAGTGTTCAGCATTTATTCAGCTCTGTCTCCACAGTTCTGTCTATAACTGGATGGCTGATGATGATTAAGGGTTCACTCGAATTTTCTATATCCAGTTGAGTCTCACTCCATAGGGAACCTGTTTGTAAGCAGAGGTCATACCACAGGTTCCACTCATCTTGTGTTACTAAAACCTGACGGCACCCTGTTTGCATGGCTCCATGTGAGCTTGAACTGACTATAGGTGCAAGGCTGGGGCGTAAAATCTAAGACCTGGAAATACACTATTCCAAGGAGCTCAACCTTGTAAAGAACTTCGTTTTTTGTTTTTTTGCAGTTAGTTTTGTTTTCCCATCAGAGACACTTAAGTTGAAAGGAAAGAAAAAAAAGGAATGTTTTGACCCTCCAAGTAAAGACAAGGGAGAAATTTGGTACATGGGAGGCTTCTAGAAACCCTGCTCTGTGGGGCCTTCTGTGCCTGACGCCTGCACAGCCAACCCCTGGTGTCCTCACTTCCCTGTCATCCTTTGCCTAGTCAGTACGTCAGAGTATTAGTCCCTTTGAAGGGCTGCTCTCCACCAGCCCATGACTGCTTTCACAGTTCATTCTGTGCAGCAAGGAGAGACATCCGATGTATCATCTGACATAAGATGTACCAGTTCTCCACATGAAGTAAATCTCAGGGTGTCATGAACCAAGGTTGTACAGTTCCTTTTTTCCTCCAGAAACTTCACAATCGTGACATTAAACTGTTTTCATTGAGGTGGATTTGAAGACTATTGGTCACACCCCTTCAAGGAAAAAAAGACCGTAATTCCAAACTAAATATCAACAATTGTAGGATTATCTGTACCTTTGCAGCTAGTAGAGAATAGTTTCTTCCAAATTGTGCAAAGTGTCCAGTGGGGCACAGAAAGAGGTATTGCTCGTTCATGAGAGCATCACTGTGGGGGGACAGCTGTGTGGTCAAGCTGTTCCTGTTTTGAATCAGAGCCGAATTGTGTGCCGTCTTCAAATGTTTCTTCCCTGTGTGTTAGTCTTGGTTCCCAACTAGACTATAAGTTCTTTGGCGGCAGGGGCTGTGTTTGATTTTTGATTTTGTGCAAGGGACAGAGAGCCTGTGCATCGCCCTGTGATAGCAGAGGCTACCGAGTGGTTTCTGAGAGCATTTGCCATGAGCTCTTCACAAAAGCCATGCTACTTGGAGGGCCCTTCTGGAGACATTTTTGCTACAAGTGAGGTTGAACTGCCTTCAGGTAGGAGTTTAAAATGTGCAGTGCACCACTGGGAAGCATGTCATTCCAGTGAACTCAGCTCTTCCCCAAAACAAGTCCCCAGTGGATTTTGAGAACCCACAACAGAATTTGAAACAGTTTTCAACTTCTCTGGATTTTTTCCCCCTTACTTTGTACACATAATATGCGAAGCACCTTTGACTACCAGTCTGCTGCGCGCGCTCTCAAATTACCTGAATGGCTATGCCATATCCTGGGTTTTTCCATGCAGCACATGTGATTATGTTCAATAGAACCAGATGAAAAACAAAAATTGCGTCAGGCAAGAAGAGTAAATTGAATGAGCCTCCACTTCTAATGTTTAAATAATGTAGGCTCATTGCTAGGCAGACATAACATTTAATAAATACAGTCAAAGGATAGT